TTTTGATTTGTGATATATTTCACAAATGATATTGAATAATTTGAGGGTTTTGAACCATCCATATTATTATGAAATGTGATAACATTGAAATCACGTTTATTTTCTAAATACTGGTAATATTAATTCTTTCCTGATATTAATCGTGGATAACATACAGTTGCTATGTTACACGCATACCTGTGATAATATAACCTTAATAGCTCTAATGACCCTCTATGTGTTGAAGGGCCGTTAAGACTGTATTAAGAAATGAATAATAATAAACCTCACAATGACGTTTTTATTGCAACTAAATCTTACAAGACCATATCATTATTCATGTTAACAAAGGACATTACAACTGTGATGATGAAAGACATTATCCTTGGAAGAATACACAGGTTTCGAGTATGTGGCTGGTATACAAATGCTTCTTGATTTTAATTTTGGTAACAGCTGTAAGTGCTCAAAAGGGGCTTTCTCTATCTAAGTATTGTAAAAGTGTCAAATTATAATGAAATTATTGTTATGGCAATCAGCTAAATCATGAAATTATTTACTGATTTGTTATTTATTTAATGCAAAGCTTCACTTCAGTTATGAAACATATGTTCTTAAAAGCAGACTTATCATCTAGAACTTTAAAAAATAATGAAATAATCCTCGTTGTTTTGAAATAGTTATTTTTTATAAACATGTAAAATTTTGCAGGAAAGCATATGAGTTGTAATTTAGATCACCTACCTTAAAAGCAAGTGATTCTAGGCCGTGGTGCATGATTGTGTGTTGTCCATCAGGTTTTCATTTTTTTAAGAGCTCCTCAACCGGTGCATCAAGATGATTTGATATAGCATGCCCGGGAGACGTCTTTTGACATTTTTATTTCTTGTTACTTTTTTTTCAAATGACTCACTTTGAAGGTCACATTAGTCAAATATGTTCGACTCTTAAAATGTAAAAAGCGACAAGGGTATTAGTCGTGGTCTGAATGACATCATGTGATTCACTTTTACGGCCACAGCAGTCAGACATTTCAACCGCTTAAAATAAACATCTTGATAACGAAGAGACAATAAATTATGTAAAATCACAAGTGAGATATTTGCAACAAAATGAAACATTAGGACTTGGAGACATAAAGTTGCTAGAATAACATTTTCTAAAAAAAAAACCTTCGTAAATTCAGGTTTTTGATACAGGCCAACTTGGCCTTTGGTTTTCAATAAAGGTATGATACTTTCTGATACGCTTTGTTCTTCTATGTTTAATACCTTTTATACTCTATCAAAATTGAAATTTTAAAATTTGAGTTACTTTATTTGTCTGCTGCATTCTATGATCCTACATTTTCCTTCAGTAATGTTGACATATAATATTTTCCAATGATATCAATGAAATGGCTAAATCTGTATTACAATAACATTTTTCCTTCACTTATTTTGGTATGTTTAGATAATCATTTGTATCTACAGAGACTACAGTAGTTTGATGTCCTGGAAATAGTTCAGCAATCATTTTTAAAGATTAAGAATGATGTATCATTTACATATATGTAAACAAATAGAGCTATACAAACATTAGAGGGATGTCCTGTTTAGGGCCTGCGGTGGCACGCTTCTGTGTGGTCCATGATTACAAGGAAAGGCAAACACGAACAATCACCTCGCATACATGGAGAGGCTGTACTTAAATGAGCATGCATTGAAGACCATGAGGGATTGGCTATAATGAAAATAGAAGTAAACTGTATCACCTCTTTTGGGAGAGAGACTTACCTAGTGTAGTAAATGTAATAATATCGATAATGGAATTTAAATTATCCGCCCAGGAAGAATATATTTGCGAGAAAAAATGTATTTGCGCCCAAAAGGCAAATATTACATTTAACCCATTAGACAAGATACAACCCCATTATTTTGTGTCTTTGTGGTCAAAATGGCACAAAAGGTATCCTCAAAATTTTATCTAATGCAAATGTGAAATATTTAAGCATTTCAAGTGGAAAATGGAAAATAATTGAGTAATAAAACTTTCGTCCAGGCCTCTTTATTGATTCTACCATATCTACTCCTAAAGGAGGCTGCTTCGAAATGGAGATTTTCTAAACCAATTTAAAGTCAATTTTAACCTTTCAGGCTCTTTGAAGATAATCAGGTGCTAGCATATTTTTATCATCAAACTACTATTTCATACTGACAAGAGAATTTGCTTCAGCTTACCAATTACTTGATTTGATATCTTTATTGCCTGAAAGATGTTGGTCTATATAATAGACTAGGACGTACCATTTTAATCTTTTGTGTGAACATACCCATTTCAGATTTTTAACACTTGTCTTTTACCTTTTGGTTTGTTTAATGTTATTTCCTTTTGGATTGCTGTGTGTTTTTCCATTTGATGGCCCTAAAGACCTTTTATGTGATGACGGGCCGTTAAGAATGTAATAATAATGATAATTCATCGATAACATAGATTGAACATCTCTTTCAGACCAATATGCTCATACCGTCCATTGTCCTCCTTATGTCTTTGGCAGTTGTTCATAGTAAGTATAGATTTCATCTTTGAACTATATGATACACATATGTATCTGAAATGATTAAACCTACTCTAATACTATGAACGTGAATATACAACAATCAACCAGTGATTGGGCAAGGTGGTTGTTATGCAATGTATCGAGAACCGATCGGCGTTGTAAAGACTCTTCAATGCAAAACCCAACAACTACTTACAATATATACAATTTATTCACACTATTTTACATAAACAATGATATCTCTCTCTCTCTCTCTCTCTCTCTCTCTCTCTCTCTCTCTCTCTCTCTCTCTCTCTCTCTCTCTCTCAAATTACATCCACTTCCACGATTCATACCCTGAAAATATCTACAAATCTATAATTAAATTCGTATTTCCTATACCTTTACACAATACTCTACACAAATCAATCTACAGCCTTTGTAGCAAGGGCTAGAACATTCAATGTCCTCTTTATTCTCCGTAAGCTGGTACAAGGACAGTTCCAACACAAAACTCCCGGCAGGAAAGTAACTTATAATACAATGATCTCGCAAATCTTCACAAAAAACCCTCAGAACTATGGGTAGTTCACATCCAGGCTGATGTACTTTGATAACAACCAATCAAACGAATTTGTAACTCAAGTGTAGGTATCAATCACCATCACTGTACAAGGTAAGTATATGGCTTCCTCGCAACGGCATGTGCAGAGACTTTCGCCATCACCTTCATCAGACCTTCAGATTTAGGCCCTATGCCAGGTGGTTAGCGTTGCTTGTTGGTCTTCAGCCCATTAAGCTACAATATTTAATAACTATAACCTAACATCTATTTTTATTTAATATTTATATATTTTAATGGATAGTTTGGATATTAAATATCACGTACGTTTACGGACTTAGATAATTATAGTCAATCACATTTACTATTAACGATATATACCCACATTATATAACTACTAACATATACTAACTGATAATAACTATAGTTCAGAACATATTATAATTCTATAGAAATATTCACAACTAGAGTATGCGATCGGCGCCTATTTACACATAAACATACTACTAGCACGTGCATTACTCACCGAACAGGTGAGTTTGTTTACATAGTACTGGCTACATCTGAATAGCGATACCGGGCATTAGATAATATACCTCATGTACGCCCTATAACCATCCATATTGGTGATAAATATGTATAGGTCCCATTTATAAATTAAAGCATTAACTTAGAATGTGAGTTAACTTACCGTAATCTGAGAAAATGGAATGAATACGGCCCACAGTCACGTTCGTCAAACCACCCGCTATTCTCTGGAACAGTTAATAGCACGATATTCAAAACTTAGGTTTATACATTCCGGTTTAAATGGCATGTGACATGCAATACCATTTTAAGAGATTTTCATTCTACAAAAATGGCCACTGGTCACTTCCGATATCAATATACTGATGTGAGAGAAATTGCCTCACTTAAGTCGAAGGTATTCAGAAAACAAAGCTGTAAAATCACGACAAAAGAAATTTATTGTCAAACACGTTCTTATGCAACAAATTCGTTATCATAGGGATGGCATACGATATTCCTTAGTTTGTCAACGTGGTCATTTACTATGATTAGCAAGAGTGAGATATATGTATGGTTTCATAGGTTATTCTATAATAATTTTAGTCCACTGCACGACACAATATTCATAAAGGAACTAAGAACTAAGAGCCACATCTTGTGTCAATTAGATATCAACGTGCAACCAAACTATGTATAATTAAACCGATCTGAATACCATTTGGTGGGAATTATATTCGGCCAACCTGTTTATTTACCAGAGATAAAGAAAAGGCAGAAAGGGTACTAACAATAGAATATCAGTTAAAGTTTGATGTGATGCTCTTAAGAGTTCATACTGCTCTGAAGTCTGTTCGGTCATGAATGGTCAAATAGTAAAGAAAAATAAAATAAAAAGGGTATATAACAAAATAGGTCAGTGAATTAAGGCAATTTAACTAAATGAGGTTGTTTTGTTTTGCTATCGTCTGCCTGACGTCTAGAAAAAATCAGTCTTAGTATTAAACATAAAAATGCAATTTTTAAAATGAAGGTTGTGTGGTACGAATAAATACATACAAGTCAAAAGTCTGCAATATGGAAATTAAGATACTTATATTATTTATATCTCATGTTTACCTTTTTTTGTATTCAGATATATTTCACTTTTTCTTAACTTTCAGGTTCACCCAACTGTGGTACAAAGACTTGTACAGACGACAAAACTTGCAAATGGACATGTGAAGGTAAGTAAATTTATTTAAACGTAATTATAGATATAAAGATACATGACCGTGACTTGTTCTAAAAAGTTTTAAGTGAAAAATGTTCCTTGATTCATAAATATATATGCACTACACAAACACTCAAACTGTGTTAAATGGCCTCATACTATTTTCATTAAAGTAGATTTTGTATAAAAATAATTTCATTTTCTGATTTAAATAGGCAACACTGGAGATGCAATAGTCCCTGGTGAGTATTTCTTTTGAGTGGTCTATGAAATCACATGGAAAGTTATCAGATGACAAGATATACGTGTACTACATAAATAAATTCAATTCTCTATTACTTTAAGCCTTGCCAAACACTTTCGATAAGATTTTACAATTGGGTCAGGTACACATACACCTGAATTCCAGACGAGATACTAGGCACATGAATGTTCGTGTTCCAGTGACGTCTGCGATATTACAATTATCAATAATATTATGTTAAATACATCGAAATGTTCTGATGAATTTTAGAGAACTATACCAGCCAAGTGTATTGCAATTCAATTCTGAATTAAGTTGATACACTTCTATCTAGAATTGGTGCTGACAACACAGAGTTATTTCAAGTTTTGAAATGTTATTTGATAATTGATGTTAAATGTATGCATCTCATTCATAAATATAAGTTTTACGATTAATGAGTGAAAACCAAATTAATATCATGCAATTTTTTATCATTAGATAAATTTTGAAACGTAATGATCAATTTCAAAGAAACATTTTTGACAAATCAACTATTTATATAAGTTACTATGTATAAATGTATTCTATTTTCATGTACAATCTATATATAATTTGATAGGTACCTGTACTACAGAAGAGGCAGTTTGTGGAACAGCAGGGAAATGTAAATCTGCATGTGGTAAGATTAGGTTTTTCATATAGTTACCGATTTCCTTTTATCAAAGATACCTATTTGATATATGTGTATATTTTTGTATATTGCATGACCTCAATGAACATAGAATTAACCTGGATTGTAAATGAGTGCAACGAGATCTTTTATCTCTGGGCTAAAATGTGTAGTCATATTGACAATTCTTCCATTTGTATATAATCTGATTATCTGGCTTGAGCGACATTTTTGAACAAAGTGTTAGAGACTTTTTAATACAAATTATCAGAGGTTACACTTGAGAAAAAAACTACCATAGGACAAATCTGTATAATTTGTATGTATGATGTATGGACCGTCAATCAAGAAACTACAAAAAATCAACAATGTATCAATTAATTTAAACAAAAGAAAATATGAACAATATAAGGATTTATATGCAAACTCCTGAAAAAACGGTAAACGTTTTCGGCCACATCCACCATCTAACTCTTGGTTGATCTAAGAAAGTGATGTCACGTTCCTATTTGTGAACAATGTAAACAATGAAACCGACAAACGTACTAACGATTATCAGACACTTCCGACATCTTACTCAACAGGAAAACATATTTCCCAATACGGTCATCGAGACCACCGCAAAATATTCAATAGAAATCCATAACTTGTAATTTACCTTTCAGGAGATATATGTTTAACCAGTGAAATAAAATGAAATGTGCTAGACAACCCTGAATATCACAATTATATGACAGGATAGAGCGCATTTATGTCGAGGTGTTTCGTGTAATCTAGTCCCTATGCCATGTATTGCTTATAGTAATTTCTGAAATTTGTAATGCCTGTACTTGTCTTGCCAAGTGTGTTCGTAACGATTTCATTTTATAGTTCCTAAATACATGTAACATATCCGTTTTAATCAGTTGCAGTCAAATAAAACAAATCATGAGTTAAAGAGCCAGACCCACTCCTCGACCGATATTATTTTATATAAAAAAAATCATGATTTTCTATTTTTCTCGGGTTGTAAAAGTTCCGATTAACCCTGTAATACCGCAATCTTAAAGTAAATCACTACCAATCTAACGTAATGAATAGTTTTAAAAAAGAATTCGAAACGACTCAGTGCTAATTCATAAATATGCGGGTAGTCCTGCCCTCTGACGCATGCGCATAGAACTGTCAAAAAATCTTCCGTCTTCCAACATGGCAGAAAGCGTGCGAGGGAAGCTGGGGAAGAAAACGTGTTTTGACGGACTCTGAGGCGAAAAGAACGAAGATGACTAAAATCATATTCATAAATACTCTTATTACCGAATGTTCGCTTTAGATAGATCCATTTCGCGATGTTCTATATGTTCGTTACCGTATCGTAGCCCCCATTTGAGGGCATTTTTGCAATTAATCGTAGTATTTCTCGTAATATGCACGTTTTTGTGTCATATCTAAGCATTGAAAGATGTGATCAATACATACGTTAGATGATTCCCATACATGATATATAGAGTATTGATTGCATTAATAGGTAAAATCTCTAAACAAGCGATGTCACATGGACGTACTGCTCACCTCTTCCTTCATTTTTTGTTTTGGTTCTGACCGCGTCTGAACGTATCACGTGACATTTCCTCATTAATATTCATATCATGGTGTTGATTAATGAGACTAATTCCGGTACAGATTTTCCGGTAACCTTTCAATTTCAAGTTCGAAAGTCTTTATTTATATATCATCTATTAATATACAATAACATTTCCAGTCAATAAAATATGAAAAAAATATCTATAACGGAGCGGGTCTGGCTCGTTAATATCTCAAAGCCAGTGATATTAAGAAATCTTCTTAAAAAATTAATCTGTCCCGATGCGAGATCTTTTAACTACCAGGTTTCGTCAAATGTCTATTCATATGAATAGAGTGCATACCTTATTAACATAATTCGAAGGACGTCTGATAGACGGGTTAGCGATTATTCGTTGAATGTATTATCAATACAGAATTAACATTGCGCCTTGTTGCTTACTTGCAGGGCATAATTTATATATAAAAAAGAACGTTTCTAGAATGACGTCTGATCTTCTAATTGGCAATTGGCTTGTATTCATTTGAGTTTGAATCTTGCGTGTGACTTTAGCCCAATGGCATGTATTGCCATCATCCGTGAATTAAAATACGGTGTCTTGAATGACGTAAAATAAATATTAATTGTTGTCACGTTAAGCTCTGCACGTTATCACGTATCACGTGACATTCAAATCTGTAATACCTATTATCTCTTATTAAATCCACATGTTGGCGTTCGATATTCGAATTCAAAAGAACTGATGTATCAGTATTCTACGCGCAAATTACCTGAATTACTGTCCAATTCCTACTGCTAAATACATTTCTACATCCAAGAAATGAAAAAAATGAAAATGGATTTGCAACATTTTCTAAACTAGGTATGCGCAACAGTGTTGTAAATTAAGTTTTGTCTGGTTCTACTGCTACTGTCTTTTCATCTCACTATGGAATAATTTTCTTTTCATTACCTTATTTTCAAAATAAATGTTATATAAAAAGATGCCATTTTTGTAAATGAAAATATTTGCGAGTTAGCGAGAATGCAATTACATTGCTTTAAAATTTCATGTGTCAATGCAGGGATTCTGAATTACAAAACTAGAATAGTTTATAAATTATTTTTTTATAACCCGATGTTTGGCTAATTAATTCACTGCATGTGCAATTCATGTCTACAGAACCAAAGCAGGAGGCTACAACGACAGCTGCGTCAGAAAATGGTATGTGTGCATGTTGTTGAAAATTAAATTTGAAAAAGGATTTAAATTTGTAACTAATCATCATTAAGTCTTAAAATGTATTCTCTGTGATCAAGGTGTATACTTGTAAGATATTGTTTTCTTAACAAAATGAAAAGAGAAGTAATGATTTGATGGTCATATGCTTGTCGCCAGCGCATCGAATTCAAAAACGGTGACAACTATGAGAAAAATACCCGAGCGAAATTGACTTCGTCTTTATCGAGAAATTTAATATGCTGTTGTACTGGATATGCGAGACATTGGGTTACATAATTTTGCATTTTATCTAAAGTAAAAGGAGATTAATTGAGTGTAACATTTGATCGAAACACAACAACCAATTTATCATTTTTTCTATAAAGATGTATTTTTGTTACCATGGTGACATGTTCAGAGACTGAAGCATTTTGTTGTAACAAGTTCAAATAACAATAGCAAATACAGAATTATCTTTATTCAAAGACAATTAATTAATGACACGTAAAACAATACATTGTAATAATTTTCGATTATCCTATATATAATATTGTTGGATAAGGCACAGACTGTCATTATATTATATATTATCAGCCTTTATTTAACGACGATAGGGTACAAAATGTACATTTGACAAGCACAAACTTGTTACTTTGTAAAATCTTGAATTCTCCAAAAACAAAAAGATGAATTGATACCAATTTTTGTAAGGCGATGTATCATTCAGAATGCGAAAACGCAATGGTATCCAGCATCAACGATTTGGAAATTATCTACGAAATAAATGATGTTCAAAACATACATTTCCCTGTTAGCAATATTATAACATTTGTGTAGCTGTCGCTTTCAAACTAACATCATATTCGTTTTGGCTTTTTAAAAAAAAAAATCTAAATAAATGTTAATTGTTTATTCACAGCTGACAACGGAAGTGTTAAACTCGGATTATCTACACTTGTATTGGCATTTGGTGTCCTAACAAGGATGTTTCTACAATACTGATTGTTGACTGTGAATACAAGTTTGTCATCCTGATGAAAAAGGATTTGTTTATCAAAGACGATGACGGATGATATTTTACTGACTTAATACAATCTACGTGTGCTTTATTTATTTGTAATTTATGAATTATTCTTAGATCTAATCGATTCACTGCTACCTTCCCACGCATGCTTTGAAGCACGTTGCTTTTTTTAGTAATGGCTGAGCTGCAATATTTATTCTGTTATTTCTATTTTCTTGTATATTCTATTTATATGAACTAAAGAACAAATGATATCGCTGTGTTGTTTGAATATGATGAAATATTTATTTATTTAATAAAACATTATTCTCTACCTTTTCGCCTTAATTATTATGCGTCGGATTGGCATAATATTAAATGATTAATTACTTCATTATGACAAATACTTCGATAGATTGCTGCAATATAAAAATTGTTGGAAATTCCAGTAAAAATTGGAGCCGTTAAGCAATATACTAGTAGCCGAATGCACAATGCAATGGTTTTAACCTAGATATAGACAGATTAATGTATTTAAGAATAGGTATATCGAAGTTGAAATGCATGAACATTTTCACATCTTCATACATTGCCAGGAGAGTTAAACAATGCCAGAGATTTATTTGCCTGCACTACCCAAGGGTAAATGTAACACTTAATAATTTACATTCTTTATCAAGAACAAATTACTGCAATACGAGAAGTAGAATACGTGTGTATGTAGCAAAGTCAAGTTGGGAAGTGACTACTTTATCAAACTAACATATTTGACATGCATGCTATCCGCATTTTTTAAAATTGTTACATAAAAATGGAATATTGAGGAATTGATATATATATATGATAACAGAATAATGACATCCTCTAATTATAACTGAAAGCTTATTCATTTACAGTATAATTTCTTATTTCAACTCTGAAAATTATTTTATTCATAATTTAAATATTTCTATGAAAGGACGACATAGGAAGGAAATGTATTATACCCTTTACCTTAAAGGGAAAAGGGTCATCGGTTTAGCACAACAGTTGGCTCACTACAATCGCGTCGGAACAAGACACTAAGCTGTACGTAAAGACAGTTAATGATATGACTCACGGAAATAAAGATCTAGAACATTTCTTGGGACCTGCACCCTCAGCTAGGAAAAAATACGATCAACATTAAAGGGTTCATGGAGGTCCACCTGAGTGAAGATTAATTATTAATTTCAAAACTTTAAGATTTCACTTGCAAAGGGCGACATAGATAAACCATGTCGTTTTTTTATCAAGATTGATAGGGCACGACACCCCGATCCAGAACCATGGAAATGAAATAGCATATATCGCGATTATGAATTCTTTCTAAATGGCGGCAACTTTAGACATGCCATTGTGTCAACGCTGTCAGTTATCAAGCATTGGCGGCAAATATCAAACAACTAGTTGATGCTGTTCGGTGATCCTATTCATTCAACTTTGCATTTAGGTCTGCTACACTAATGTTTTCCGAATAATAAAGCTCCTGTAGTTTTTTTATATCGATTTTTTTGAGAGTTTTGTTGTTCATGCAGAAGCTGTTCGTCTCTATTAAAGTTTTCAAGAATAACTGATTATTCATTGTAAATTGTAGTTTGAAATTTGGAATGTACACAAAACTATTAAGATCATATACAATAATTTCATTGGTCTTATTAACGGGGTATATCAACTGATGAAGTAATATAATTTGATTGACTGCTTGAAAATAAATATGACAAATTTTAATAATACTTTTTTGATAACGTACAAATGCTGAAAACTGTAGAATTTTAAATTTGATTTAAAATATACTTTCATACACGATTTTATGATATAACTAGTCAGCAATGATGTCTGTGTTGGTAATAATTACTGTAAAACGATCGACACATTAAAAGTGGGATGTGGTAATGGAGGAAAATGTGGCAAATCATCTACATGCATTGCTAAAGTATGTGGATCAGTTACTTTCACAGGCTCCGGAAGTGGTTCGGATACATTTGCTTCGCCAACAGCAGGTACTTTATTGGTATATCATACTTATTACATTGAGAGAACAAAGTACAAATTTATTTCATCTTGAAAATGACCAAGCTCCTCGATATTCCTAATCTATAAAAAAAAACCATATGTGATACGCATCCTTCATTCATCTGAATATCTAATATGAACATTGTAGGATCTTAATGGCCTTTAAAATTCATCACAAAAATATCAAAAATTCATGTAAACAAAGTCCAAACTCAAATTCCATAAAACCAAAGCAAAATATGAATCCGGAAGAGTAAGCGTCTTCTGCTTCATCGACGACCCCATGTAAACCTTGGTCAATCCAAGTAAGTAATACCACATCAATTGATGAATTCTTGCACGAAAGAATGATAAAGAAAACAGGCCTTTGAATATCGAATCAACATGTAAATACAATAGGTTGGATATGCAGGGATATAGCTATCCACATATGGAAGTTTAACAATAAAGAAATTGAAATCATTACGTTTATCATACAGCTTGGTTGAAAGCTGTTCATGCTTGTGTCGTTGTAAGAAAAAATCAAGATAAGATGTTTTCGATAGCCTTAAACAAGCGGTAATAGATTTGTATTTCTCTGTACCAGGATATAAAGAAGGGTATGTTCAGTTAAAAAATAATCAAGGAACGGCGAAATGTGAAATGATATGTGCAGCAAGATCATTTGGAGTTATATTAAACTCGAAGTCAGAAGAATACCAATACATCCGAAATACAGGGATTTCTATAATATTAGCCACCTCGTACGCATTGCTCTGATCTTGCACTGCAGAAACATGTCCTATTTAAAAAAAAAAAGGTGTGGTGCATTTAGAGGAATGCAAGTTAATTCGCCCTTCTCGTAAGACAAGTCGCCCCCATATATCAAGACCACTCGCCACCCCAAAATATAATGAGTGTTATGCGTTACAGAATTTTAAATATATTGTTGTTATAAATAATATATTTAATACATCAAATGGCTCTACTTTAGAAAACATTTCCTGACCTAGGCGACGACTCTGTTCTTCTTATAACAACACCTTCTCTCGCCTTCTTTTAACAACACTGAAGCCATGTGAGCCCAATCACTGTTTGTACTAACTTAACACAGCTCGTAATTGGCTTGGCTGTCGGCAAGATGAAAATGACAACAACACCAGTGGCTGAGTGTGATCTACACCCAATCTCTAAATCTTACCATAAATAAGTCGTATGGACATCTACAGGTCATACCACATTCAACCATGGCTGCGCTATGTCTTGTATGCAACTCCGTGCTCCGACAACGACAGGAAGTTCTTTGTTGTATTTTTTGTGTCCGGAAACAACATAGAACTTGTAATTCAGGTAAAATGAATATATTTGAATATTGTTTATGCAGTCAAATCCTTTAATTTTTTCCGAATTTATTGTTATGCTTAAAAACAGTGCCAGGTAAAGAAATCTAATCTTTTTTTTTAATTTTCAGGAATTACAAGAGATGAATTTCGACGTAGCAAAGGGTCCGGGAATCTTCGATTCACATGCAAAGACTGCCTCCACGATGCAACTATCCCCTACACAGACCAATCAACTGTCATCTACGCAGACAACACGCAACCCATTGCTGAACGACCCGCATCGCTGATCCAACAACAGCAGACGATACACTCAACATCGACAGGTTACCACACGCGGAGCCCAGTCTACATTCCGAGAATTCCATCTCCGACAGCGCCAACCCAGTGGAATTATCTTCCCACGAATCTGTCGTCACCTTCACAGTCACCGAGGGAACCACTCAGCGAGGGAAACGCAAACTAGTTAGCAGCGATGGCTTCACATTCGTATGCAAGAAGGAAAACCGTGAAAACTCAGTCCTTTGGAGGTGCAGCGTCAGAAACCGAACAACAACCTGTCCCGCCCATGTTCACCAACAAGGAGAGATGTTCACTACAAACGGCAAACCACACACCCATACATCCAAGCCCGGTGTACTATCCTCTATTCGTTTGATGCAGCAGGTCATAGACACAGCTAAGCGCGACATCTTTACATCAGCACCAAGTATCGTCGACAAAGTCATGGAGGAGACTGCCGACTCCAGAGAACCGGAATTCGCACGACCAAACTACAACCACATTGTTAGAAGCGCCAACCGACGACGACAAGCAGACCGTCCAGCCGAACAAAAAGATGTAAACTTCGACATTGAAGCGGATTTCCTAGAACGCCACACCAGCGACAACTTTTACCGAGGGGACGTCTCCGTGGGAGAAAATCGCCATCTACTATTCGCCACTGACCACCAACTACAGCTACTATCCTCTGCAAAGACTTGGTTCATCGACGGCACCTTCAAGATTGTCAGCAAACCCTTCTACCAACTTCTGTCCATACACTTCTTTGCCAAGGCCAACGACGACATGAAGCAGTTCCCCGGGATATTCGTTATTATGTCAGGCAAAAGGAAGAAGGATTATAAAAAAGCAAGTATGTTTAATTTTATACGAAGGATTTTCTAATCAACTCATTATTTGTTAACTACCAGACTAACTAGTAACTTTCTCATTAGGACACACAATATTATTAATATCATATAATATCATTTTATTGCAATTTTTACTTTTTTTCATGGCTTTCAGTTAATTATCTTTCTTCATATTTCAGGTTCTCCGACAAATTATCTCCATACTACCAACACCACCAGCGACGCAACAACTAGTACTGGACTACGAGGAAGGGTTGTGGAGAGCTGCAAATTCCGTGTTACCCGAGATCAGCATCCATGGCTGCGCATTCCACTGGGGGCAAGCTGTTTGGTGTCACGTTCAAGAGCTTGTACTATATATATAACTAAATTTTACGAGTTATTTCTGGGTTTTTTTTCTCCTCGATACATCTAGATTCTAAAGAAATATTGTGTATTATACATGTTATAGTAGCTCAAACATTTATACTCTAAATTTTAAATTTCAGGTTGAGTATTCCCAGCGAGACGACACATACAAGTTTATCCGCAAGCTACTGGCACT